GTTCTTCCAGGAGCCGGCCTCCGCCTTCGCCTCCTTCCTCAACGGCCTGGCCAGCTTCGTCATGCTGCTGCGCTACAAGGCCGCCGTCCCCCCCGCCTCCCCCATGTACCCCACCTGCGTCGCCTTCGCCTGGGTGAGCCGTGACCCCCCCTTCCCCCCCCCGGGGGGGCTGTGCTGCGCCCCACGTCCTCGCTGCTCTCTCTGGGGGTCTTCTTGCAGCCCCCGTGGTCTCCCCTCGTCGCAGGGACACCCCCCAGGATGACGGGGGGTGGTTTTGGGGGGCACAGCCTGCGCTGGCAGAGCAGCACCGGGCCGGCAGCGCTTCCCGGGCCTCCTCTGCCAGGGCGCAGAGTCTCCAGGGCTTTTCAATAACCAGCTGATCAGCAAACCCCGCACAGCTCCGGCTGCTGCCGCTGCCCCGGCCGCCGGCGCCTCCGCATCCAATTTTCGGGGCACTCGTCTTCCCTAATGAGGCTGACGAGCTGCTGAGGGGGGAACGTGTCCCAGGCGGGGAGCTGGCACGTAGCTGGCAACAGGGGCCGCTCAGCCTCTCCCTCCCCGCTCCGGGTTTCCGCCTCTCACGCCACCTCTCCCGCAGGTCTCCTTAAACGCCTGGTTCTGGTCCACTGTTTTCCACACGAGGGACACGGCTGTGACAGAGGTGAGTGGCACCCCTGGAGGCGGCGTGACCGTGGGTTCATCACCCTCTGTCCCCAAACCCGTGCTGGCGTCCTGTCGTTCAGCCCTGCTCGGGGGGGGACCGCGTGCCCTGGCCCTCCTCGAGCTGCCGGCGCGGCTCACCCAGCCCCGATCCCGCAGAAACTGGACTATTTCTGCGCTTCGGCCGTCGTCCTGCACTCCGTGTACCTGTGCTGCGTCAGGTGAGCCCCGCCAGCGCCGTGGGGCAGGGCGCTGGGGACACCGGTGGCGGCCGGTCCCCGGGGCTGTGAGTGACCCCTTCCTCCTTCTCCTCACCCCCCCAGGACGCTGGGGCTGCAGCGACCAGCCTTAATCAGCATCTTCAGGGCCTTCCTCCTCCTCTTCC